TTTAAAGAGAATAAGGAATTATTAAATTGTGTACAGAGAATGTTTACACAAGGTTATATTTCAATTTTTTTCAACCACATGTATGGGCCCAAGTTTGGGCCTGACGTAAATTTAGACAGCCAGTTGCAACACCTAGCCACATATTTACTAAACAATGTATGCCCAATGAGTGTCTGAATACCAAGGGGGCAGACAAAGAAAACATTAAAATGGAGGTTGACTAACTGAAATGCATAAATGTATATGATATATATTTTATGAGTTTATGAGTTTGAGGTTGTTTCGTAAAAAGTAAAAATTTATTTTTGACATTTAGAAGAGTTTTACGTTTTATTGTGTACAGAGAATGCATACCTGAATACCCAAGGGGCAGCCATAAAGAAACATTAAAATGCAGGCTGACTAACTGAAATGCATATGATAAAAGTCGAAACCTAACGAGGGCCAAATACAGTAAGCAGAATGCATGAGATGAATTGAAGCAGCTCTGTGATGCCATGTACGATTGAAATCGGCTGAATACATATATATATATATATATTTATGCTATATAAACTTTAGCATGGAAACCCGTTTGCCACAAAGCTCCTTTTATGGTAACAATTGGCAATCTGGCAACTGAAGATTAATATACGTTAAACAAACTTTGCATAGGTTTTATAGCAAACTGAGAGACAACTGTGGTGTCTATTAAGGGTGCCCATTGGATAATTTAGCAATTTGTTCACTTTATTGTATTTCAGTTGAAGAATCAATTTTCTATTCAGTTTGTCAATACTATTTATCAGCTTCTGATTTATAGCCCAGTGTAAATTTGGCAGTTAAACATGACAGGTTGATTCTTAGGATAGTTACTAGCTACTTAGATAAACATATCAAATGTTTATACTATAATTTCAGGGAAAATCTACTGTCAACTCATTTAAGTGTTGCCAAAGTATAACATAAGCACAATACATGTTCATCTGAGAATGAAAAAGGTCAGTGTAGGATAATTAAATATTACTGATCATCAAAGTTGTCATTTGTCAAATAATGAACTCTCAATATTGTTTTGTGCCTGTAAACATCTTTACAATATTTATGGTAACATAGTTACATAATCTAGGTTAAGACAAGACTCAAGTCCATCAAGTCAACCTTTAAAACCCATTACTTTATGTTGTTGGTGAAAAAAGGCAACTCCCCCCCTTCTCCCAAATGAAGGCATTTCTAATTTACCATAAAAAGGGATCCTGTCTGATTCCACAATGGCAATCAGATTTCTCCTTGGATCAGCAAAATGTTCACACATTATGTTCTATATTCTGTTCTTAACAACAACAAAAAATATCTATAGAAACGGATAAGACAACCTTTTGAGTGGAGAATTACACTTCTTTTTTTTCTGTAAAGACTCATTTCCTCTGCTGTGAGCAAAAACTTCTTTCTTCAAGTCTAAATAAATGAGCTCCTGTCAGTTGTATATTCCTGCTAGAGGTAAAGTTAGCATATAGCATTTTGAACCAAACCTGTATATAGTTATATTAGTGCTTTCATATCCTCTCCAATATGCTTTTCTTCTAAAGAACACAAATGCAATTTTTCTAGCCTTTCTGTTAATGTTTTCCATTAGTATTTTTCTAAATTTTTTAGGGCAATCAAAAATGTAGATTAGGTCCAAGAGGGGTAAAGCTACAGAATCTTAATCAATTGAGAAAATTATTTATTTAGTTTTCTGAAGTGAAATAATCATTAAATAAATGTAATAATAATCCTGCTGAATTGAGTGTGGGATGTGTACCCTCCATGTGTTTGTACAAAATGCTTTAGCAAACTATTTGCTGGCAGACCGGATTTGGATTGCCTTTGTTTCAATTTGTGTAAGCTTTTATGGATGTTAGAAAAGTGAGATAACCAAATAAATAAGATAAAAAACTAAATTATGCATTGTAAATATTTAACAAGAATGCTAAATTATGAATATAATTAATCCAAATAGAACCAATAACGATTAAACAAAAATAGTAAAATATGAGGTATTAGCAATTGTTGGTATTCATATGCCGCCATAGGAATGTTTCTACATATTTGGTGGGACTGCCTGAAATCAAACATTTTAAGACCGCAATTAATGGTTTTCTGAAGTTGTTTTCCGACAACCCTCGTCCCTTTGGGCCTGCTCCATTCCTTGTACACCACATTACTACACCAACAGCTAGATATAAGAAATCCCTGACCATCCATACATTGAACACTGCAAAACAAGTAATACCCCTTTATTGGAAGAAAGCAACTCTTCCTCTCTCTGTGTCTGAGCTGTTCAGCTGCTTTTTAATGATCAGCTCGTTCATTACCATTTCCAAGGTTACTCACCTGGTTGTTAGTAGCCAGCCCTGTTGCTAATCAGTGCAGCTTATTTAAGCAGCAAATTCCAGTACCTCCTTGCCCTTGCATGGTTTCCTGTTTCCCAGAAGACTTCCTGTTTCCTGTGTTTCCTGTGTATTCCTGGTTCCTGACTTCTGGCCTTGTTCCTGACTCCGCTGCTCTTCGTTCATCTGATTCCAGCTCATCTGACTACCTGCTTTGATGCCTGACCCTTGCTCGCCTCCTGGACTTTGCTTTTGGTTTATTTAATTTGTTGCTATTTATTAATAAAGGTGTTTGCATCTACGTTCTGTCTCTGTCTGGTTCTTGATCCCTAATAGAAAGACCCCCCCCCACCCCTTACTGTATGGTTAGACTACATGGAAGACTTACGACCACTTAAAAAATTGACATTCTCTGCTCAGTGCCGTACCCAGGCATACTTGAAGATTAGGACACATTGGTTGACTGTAGCTTATCGAGCTGACTTTCAAAGGTTGTTGAAATATACTCACTCAACAGGACTTTTAGGGAAGGCCAGGAGAGATGTTTAGGGCAGTCAGGATTGCATGGGAGAGGGTCTCTACTGGTCAGGAGTGCATCCCTAATGTTTTGGAGACATAGCTCTCCAATATTTTATATATATTGCTACTTTGTTTAAAGTTGACTTCCTCGGAAGGGGTTTGCTGGATCCCTGGATTGGACAAACAAAATCATGTGATCGTCCTGAAAATGAGGGTACCACCATTTAAAGACTGTCACAGTATTCCACAGATCTTTAGTTCACAGAAGAAGCCCAGATTATTGGTAAAACACATTTTGGCACTTTGTTAATTCTTGCTCTTACTGCACTTTTATTGTTTTTATATGTGAGTATAAATAAATAGTTATATATTTTATCACATCTCCATAGTATATTTTAGCAGTATCCAACACCTTCATCCACTGTGGGCAGTGTCACCCCATAAGTGACACCAAGCTTACATACCTAGAGCCAGGACCTATTATTTATATTCGAGTTGTTTAGATATGTGCACTATTACTGCCTTTTCTTTCTTCTCCCTTTCGAGTGTCGTGCTTCATGTGTGTTGCTACCTGCAAAGGAAAACATGTGCAAATATTGAGCCTTATTGTTACTCTGCTTCATGTGAGTGTTCCTAGTTATTTGAGCTATACCCCATTTGAGAACATTGTACCATTCACACTATATTTTCCCTTTTTTTTTGTTTTTGCATATGCTGCTCTCCTGCCTATGTATCACTGTTATTAAAGGGTAAGAGACCCCATTTTAGTGCTCTAGTTTTTATAAGTGTTTTTCACTTATATGTGCATGTTCTCCATATTTCTTTTCTTGGACAGGTGAAATTATAAAAATGTAAAACTGTATTTTTATATGTGTGCTTTTTCTTAATAAGTATTATGTATACATTTTTGGACTTAATGGCAGCACCATTGCTGAGAAATGTATGTTCTGCACCCAATACCCTTTTTTGCAGGTTCACCCATTTACTGGGAACACCTCACAAGACTTGTCGCTTTGGAGATGCTCTGACCCAGTCACCTCGCCATCACTATTTGGCCTTTTTAAAGTCACTCTGCTTCAAACAGAAACTCAAGAACTGACTGTTCTTTTGCTGCATAATATACCCTACCCCTTGACAGGTGCTATTGCAATGATATAATCAATGTTATTCACTTCACCTGTCAATGTTGTGGCTGATCAGTGTAGATACTCAGTGAATCGCAGACACATACTAATATATATAGATACATATTACCAAAATATAAAGATTTACTGCACACACCAATACATTTTTTAAAATGTATTATAACAATTTTAAAGTGTTATAAAGGGCACATCTTGTCATCCCCTCAAGGTAGTTCCAGGAGAAAGTATGTAAATGTAAAATAAAAATTATGAATTGGCACATGAGGTATAGATATATTTTTGTACTGTGGCGTTTATTGTCTTCAGTTTACTCTAATGGCGTGCCTAGATATCATTAAAATACAGCACGTTAGGGATGTGATTGAGCATGTGATTGAAAGCATAAGTATGCAGTGTGGAAAAAAAGCAGAGACTGCTTGATGCTATTTAGTGGACATGGGCCAAAATCTCCAATTAATTTTTCCAACATACATTTTTTTTCTTTAAAATGTACAGATTCTTTTAATATCTGGATGGTACTCTTTTTGGTTTTTCTTTAGAACACCTTAATGAGAAATCTGCCATTTTAGAGGCAATATATAGATATATATATATATTTTTTTTTTTGTCACTTTGTGGTAAAAATGAGAATTACTTTAACCTGTTTTTTTCTGTCATATTTTGGATCACTAGATGTAAAAGAGAAACTTACCATGTAACTAATTTGTCTGTATTTGCACATACAATTCCACTTTACAGTTAATTTTCTTTGCTTAAAGTGTGTTTTCTACCTGTGAACCTCTTTCATGTAGAGCTATTTTTTTCAATGTACATCAATGCACACATTTAAAATGTTCTACTTTGGTGGTAGCCAGAGGGACGTATTTGGATATGTAAATCCAAATTTCAACTAGACTCCATTATATTGAATAGACATGTAGCTAAATACAGATTTATACAATGAATGAATACAAATAACAGCCAGAAACATATTTTAAATCATATCCAGGTATTCATTGAAGCTTGTTAGTAGATGATCACACTTGCAAATGAGCATTAATGTCAAACAAAAGATCACAACAGTGTGTGTTAAAAAATGTAACAAATTTTTTTTTCTTTTTTTTTATAAATGAATATAACAACAGTGGAATTAACATTAATTTTAAAAATAAAACAGGACAACTTCCCAATTAAAAGAAATTCAAGTATATTTTTTTGTAAAGTTTCCATATATTTGTGCAATTCCCACCATTGCATAGTAAAGAAATAATCATAAAATAAAAAAACCAACAAATGAATATGGACTGAAATAGGTCTTCTTAACATGCATCTATAGAATTCTTGGTAAAAGTAGACAGAGAGAGGAAGGAAGGGTTAGCTAATTTGTGAACTGTCGTGCAGATTGGTTGCAAATAAGAAGTAATGTTTTTATGAGTTAATCTACAATATCATGTTTGAAGATAAAGTAACTTAAGAATTAGCTGTTTTTACAAGAACCAGATCAGGAGTATAAAATGATTCCCAGTGTATGAGATTCATAACTTAAGTCAGTCACCATTTTCTTTAGCGTTGAGTTCCTAATGTGATCTGAAGAATTGGAACCCAAATTGGAGTCTGCCTGTGGCATAAAATGTAGTAACAATGGCAGGTGTGTGTCCAATAAAATGTCTACATTGAGTAACAAGTTGTTTCATTTTGAGTAACCTTAACTATATATACCTGTAAGAATCCTACCTATATATTTTTGGCTGTATCCATATGACTCTTAAAATGTACTAATCTTAATGCTAGTTAACATTTTATAAAATTTAGAAATCATTAACATGTTTAGTGCTCTACTGTACAATTTGCGCATGTGTATAGTATGATACTGGTGGGGCACTTTGGGAGGGGAGGAACTATATATAGATATATATCAACATTGTGTGATGTTCTACTCAACTTCCAGTAGTGTCATTTGCTTTAATGAAGTAGCAATGTTTAGCAAGTGTTTGTCATCTGAATCAGAGATTTCTAGAACACAATTAAGTCTACATAATATGTATGATGGACTTAAATTGTATGTACTTTGTGATCTCCTGAGCTTAAATTGGACGGAGACATCAATAATGTGTACGTCTAGGTGTATGTAATACACTACATATATTGTGTGTGTCTATGTGTTTCAAGCCAAATTGAATAAATGTACTATATTCCAGAAAATGTATCTTGGTAGGACATTCTATTAAGTATTTTATTAAAACTCAAAAAACGTATATGAGAGATAAAAACAAACTTCAAAATGGATTATAACAGTGGCACCACAAAACGTAACGTTGTGAAGCGCACTACACTAAAAATCACTCATAGATGTATTTTTCATTTGTAATATATATTTTTACAATAATGCAGTTAATTTGTATTTAGTCTTTTCCCTCTTCATCTTACCAATAACTTTAAGGGCTGGCAAAATGGGATCTAATTTCATGTAAATCAATCTTACAGTGCAAATCTGATAAATGGGTTTCTGGGTCTAGAGGGCATTGTATATAGGACAGTAGTGAAAAAAAAGTGTAGTCAATTTCATTAGAATCATCACAAGAAGTGTGTGCAATAAGTGAAATAAATATCTCTATATAACTAGAAATATCTTTTACGATCATAAAAAGTGAGAATTTACTATTTTACATTCACTGCCAAACGAATTGGAGCAGTGACAAAGATTTCACAAAATCATCTTTACATTTGTTTTTGTACATGATACACATCTGCTCCTATTCACACCGATTTCATATATCTTTCTCAAGAATCCATGTAGAAGTATTTAAGAGCATCTCAACAATTCCCACCTTTTATCATTTTTAATTTAGGAGGGATGAGCAATGCATTGCCTTGTAATGCATCTCCCCTCTGTCCCAGATGCCTATTTTGTTTATACAGTTTACTCTAAACACAAACAACATAAACTACATATAAAAGTGCCACTTTATGTAGAAGTAAGACTTTCTACAATCTGCTTACAAAATCAGTACTTACAAATTTTTAAGTTCTTGTTTCACCTAGAAAAAATGGTATCTGTGCAGCTAAGCATTTACAAACAAAAAAAACAAAAAACAAAAAAAAAACAATTAAAAACCGTGTTAATAAACAAACTAATTTAAACTTCAAGAGACCTGTAAAATACAGAACATTTTGGAAAGGCCACTAGAAAATGAAATAGTTTAGTAACCTCTAGCTTCAGCAACTTGTATTTTGCAGTATTTTGGGTGGTAAAGTACTAACATGATTGTATTCTGACTGAAGATCTATATTTTATATCACTTTCAGACGGAAAACAGGTTTAAAAAAAGGTTGTGAATTCAAAGTGAAATAACCAAACAGGAAAATAAAAAGTCTGATATGTTTCATATTCCGCAACTGTGGTGTTAAATTTGAAATTTACTGGGAATTCACAACAATTCTCACTTGAGTGAATAACCCTGTCATATTATAGTCAAAAACACATTTGCATTGTAGGTTGCTCAATGCATTGTGAAACTAATTGTATAATAAATTTCAATAAGCCGGTTAATCACTAGCAGACTCTGTTAGATCTCCCAATATTCAGCCTGCTGTCCAAGACAGAGTATAAAAAATTGTATATTTAGCAAATGTATGTATGTCAGTAATGTGGGTAACTGTTTCCAGATAATATATTACTAATATTTTAACATTTACCTACAATAAGTTCTGTTTTACAGGTCATTATGTATATTTTAAAATGTAATTTTAATCATCATAAACACTACCGTTCATTGGATCTGTGGGTGGTGTCCCCAGTTTTCTGTCAAACCTTTTAGATGTGATTTGACTAAAACCAGGACTCTACATACAGCCCAATGGATTGTTATCTCAGCAGGAGCACTGAGAATGCACAAATTACACTTCCTCCTTATCAAATTGAAATTGTGTCTATACTTGAATAGTCGTGATAGGCTAAGAGCACTGGGCTAGCCCTCTCCTAGTACCCTCAGTTTAACATAGTCATCCAAGGATGCACACTGATGATGAGGAAGTGTAGTTTTTTTTATTTATCAGTGTGGCTGCAGAGAGGATGGGGCTGTGGATGCTGATATTAGCTCTGTTTTTTGTCACAATGCTTCATAACATTATATCAGAAAACTCAGGAATGGATCTCATAACTTCAACATGCCATAACTGCTGCAATGAGCTGTAGTGGTTAAGGTGTTTAGCGTGCCCCTTTAAGCTTTGAAAGTTTTAATCCAGTGTTTCAAATTTTTACACCTTGTATTCCTACCCTGGTCTCCAAACCAAACAGTTACAGATTTATAGCAATAACACAGGTGATTAAAAGTGGAGATATGATGTAAATCCATGGTTTAGTAAACCTGAGGTCACATTCTAATATATATATATATGACATGCCACATTTGCATTAATTTGTTTTCTTATGGTTATTTATATTGACAAATACACTAAAATGGGAAATATTTAAGGGGTCAGGCAGAATTTTACACATATTGAGTTTCAGGGTTTTTATCTCCCCTTCTTAGTAAAGGATAAATATTTGAGATTATTCATTAAACCAAAAAATGTAAACAACTGATGATGGGATAACAACATTTAGGCCATAAGAGCCTAAATGAGGGATGAACCCCTCTTCCTCATGTGCTGTTCCAGATACGCTACTTTGGATCAATATTTCAGCTTCCTTCTTGGTGTGTAACTCCAACCCGTGATTCGACTCATAAACATGTACTGTTTTTGAAAAACTTAGAAACACTGCATCAAGCCTTTCAAGACATGTACGAAGGTCTTGTAGTTGAGATGTTATAGTGTATGAGGAACAGAAACTGATTCAACAAGTGAACATGACAAATCACTTAGAATCTATCTTTATTTTTATAAAATCATAATTTGATTTATCTCAGTTGCAAGAATGAAGGGAAGCCCAAATCCATGTTATGCCAAATTACTTTCCTTATTATGAATGCTGTAATTTTTATTCATAAAAAAACTCAAAATAAAATGTTTTCTGCCCATGGTATTCCATCCTCACAACTGCCATCCATAAGAACTTTCTGTAGCCCTTTGCCGTTGCTTAAAACCTGTATCCTATCAGCTGCTCTGCATTCCTCACAACGTAGAGCCAATTTGTAAGCTAGATATAGTGTTCTGGTAGAGGAACAGGACATTTGTATGTCTGATGAAAAAATCTCATCTTTGCTTTTCAGGACTATTAGGATTTTGCACGCATGGGTGTGAGAACTGGGAGTTAGAATGGAAGATCCCCCCACCCCCTTCCTGAAAATCTGGTGTAGCTTTTAAAAGCATATGCTTCACTGTTTAAGAAAAAAAAAGAAGAAAACATCCTAAGATAGTTGGTTATTCTTATCTATAAAAGACTCCCTATTGACACTATGTCAATTTACCTCTAGAAACAGCATGGTTTAATTCATATTCCCTAAGTGGGGCTTTAATTTTTATACTTCCACCACCTCTAGATTTTCTTTGGTTCCTATGCCAATGGTTGCATTTTTAAAATGCAGTTTTTAGTTTTTAGAAAGACAACATAGTGGGTGAATGTAATCTCCATTGCATTATAGGAGGGTTAAAGCAGCTCTTCCATAAAAAACAATGTTATCTAATTTGCTTCTGTATAGCTCCTGTGTTTTTTTCATGCGCACTGTTGCTTTAATAGAATATATAAGGAAAAGCAGGGGCTACTTTTCCTCAGGTTTAGCAGTCAAATTGAGAAAACTTGACAAAGGATTCTGTTTAAGTAAGGTGTCAGTTGCCAATCAAATTTGTCAGTAAAATCAATCCCACAGAAGGGCATACAGCAGATATCATATGCAGCTGAGAAAAAAATGGCTGCTCCCAGATACTTAGATCTAGCACAACAAAGAAAAGATTATAAATATACATAACGGCAAGTGTCAAGGGGGTTGATGATTAATAAGATAGAGGGGCACAGGAAAAGTAAAAAAGCAAACATGACAGTCCCATTTTAGAGAAAATACTGGCTTTCACATGGAAGCACTAACGCTAAAGTAGACTGTAGCGCAACTCTTTAGTTGTTGATAGTGTACATTTTAAAATATTTACTCACTGAGTTAGAAGGAATTTAATGTTTTAAACAACATTTTATTCCTACATTAAAAAGGTATTTTGTAACTTTTATTAATATATTGCTTACATTATATTGAATATGTCTTATATTGAATATGTCCATAGAGTCACTTAATGTGACATATCTGATGTAAAGTTCCTGTTTTTAATGAGGGTGGCATCATTTATCAGAGTACTTGGCTCTCAAAAGCAACAGGATGGCGCTTCATGACTCCACAAGAAGTGAAGAGTGGTTAGGAAAATTGCTTGCCCTCAGTCTACTGCAAACCAGCAATGCATTACTGCTATTTTATATGCAATTGATACAAAGAAACACTGATTTTATATACATATATATATATATATATATGTATCCTGTGATTCTTGCACAATATAATTTGTTAAACATGGCAGTCTTTACCATAAGGCACACTAGGCATTCTTTCAATCACCATTTTTTACGGTAAGCATGGCACATGGGCAAAAGGGTTCTAAACCATGCACATTTAATCATGCCCACTCCATATGTCTCACCTATTTATATCAAGCCTCTCTAATTGAATCTATAATGAAGTACGATTCACATATGACCCTTAAAGTGGTACAAATTGTATTAACTATTTTTTACTGTGTGAGGGATGGGGGTAGAAAGTTCTGCATTTGTGCCAGGGCATGTTACAGACGTGAATATTTTTTTAGGTGCATATATTTATATTTATTTTTCAAACCTCGCTCACTTTTATCATATGGATTAGAGGTTTACCACTTTTACAGGATAGGGAGAATTACAATATTTTATTAGTTATTCACAGAGAGACATTAGGGAGCAATAACAAGGGAACTGAAAATATTTTGTTGTTTTTGCAAAACAGTTGAGCTAGAAGTAAATCTGATTTGTTCAATTGTCTGATTTGCTCGCAAATGTACAGATCCCTTATCAATTCTCCATAATTCCAACTTCACTAAAAAAAATATATATATATTTTAAAATCTACACTATTTAAGAAATGTTATCGAACAAAGTGGTATTTGCTCTTTAAACAAAGAAGTCAAATAGAACATGGGGATCCACAATTTTAACTTATCAGTCCCAACGAGTAGCATATTAAACTCTAAAACATTGGGCTATTGTCAAAAGATTAGTTTAGAACTAAATACCCAATTTATAACCAAATTGCTCATTGAAAGCTCCAAAGGGCAAATTAAATGAGAGACAATAATTTAAGTAACTTCTGGAATAAAAACGCAGTTCTTAATAGACCTAGCTTCACTAGTGACCTCTAAACATGAGTAATATAAACTCAATGCATTTACCCCTTAAAAATATTTATCTATACATCTAAGTTAGGAATAGACATTAGAAGAAATTTTAAAAATGGCATAGACATCTTAATTACATACAGGATTTCCCAGACAATATGTCTGGATTAAAGATGCAGCAGTGTCAAAGAATTATATATTAATCTATTATACATGAGCATCTCAAATCTGAGATTTATATATATATATATATATATATATACACACACATATATAAATACACACACATATATATATATATACACATATGTGTGTGTGTGTGTGTATCTATATATATATATATATATATATATATAAATCGACAGATAAGATATATACACAAGTATATTTATATTACCTATATATATATATATATATATATATATATATATATAAAGATAAAAAGATATGCTATGTATAATATTTATATACATATCTGAAGACATATCTATGTATATACATGCCTCTAAAAGTGTTTGTGGGTGTATGTGTGTGTATATATATATATATATATATATATATATATATAATTATATGTGTGTGTATATATATATATATATATATATATATCACACAATCACTTTTTAACAATATACTAGTGAGATAATGAAAATATTTACATGCATGTGGGAAAGTTAAAGCATTAAAATAAATGTATATGTGAGATTGGCACTTTAGTGAATAACTTGAGAATGTAGCTATATATCTATTTTCATACACTATGTACAAAAATCCTCATTGCAAAGAAAACAATATATATATAATGAAAATAAAACATTAACCCTTTGAATGCTGAGGAGATAAGCTGAGCACAGGTTTGCTCATCAGTCTGATGCAAAGAAAGGGTTAAACAGGATTGTTAAATACATGTGCATTTACAGTAAATAGTTCAATAAAGGTGTCTTTTTTTTGGTTTCAAGCAATCAAACCTTAGATCACACCTGTGTTGTGCCAAAATTTCCTGCATGTACATGCTCAGTCTGCCGTAATAATGTGTGCAAGCCCAGCGTGCCTACTCAACATGCTAGAAAAAAGTGTCAGGGGGATGAGCAAATAATATTAATATATTATTTGCATGTGTTTTATATTTTCAAGGTTTTTTTTTTCTTTACATACACATAAAGCTTTTGTTGTCAGAAAATCTTTCATTACATTTAATATGTTAAAGTCTTCTATGTTCATATATACATGTCTCTGATATGTTGTTATTGATCATCGTATGACTTCATGTCTCCTCTGACAGAGTAGAGAAATCATGGCTTGGGTTTTAGGAGAACGCTTGGTTCAGGGATGTGAAAGTTAGAGGCTGTCCTGTCTAAGTTGCTCTCTGCAGCTAAGAAGACAGACTTCAATGCACTTATTAGTGGTCTCGGATAAACCTCCAAAGTCACTCTTCTCTCTGTTTTCTAGTTTTCTTCACGGCCACTTTCTGATTTTGAAGGTTAGCTCCATAAAATTTTGCATTTTAAAAAAAAACATTTTATGTATAGCAATGTGTCATGCAGTTTTACCCTTTCTAGAGAATGAGTTGTTCATGCCACTGTTTTTGTTTTTATATTCTTTGTTGAGAAAGGATAAGCCTCGTGCTTATGTCTGAAGATGTTTTTTTAAGTTCCACATTCACTATATTTTCATGAAAAATAAGATATTGCACTTAAATTTCCTATTATATTTTGGATGGAATTTCCTGCAAGCTGAATGCGATTTCTTGTAGACATTTTAGATTCCAAGGAGAGTCAATTTAGAACATTAACTGAAATCTCCAATTTTGTTTTTTATTCTTTTGCATCACAGTCTTGAAAAACCCACCAGTTGATGGTTTATATTGTTTCTGATGACCTTCATGGATTTAATGTAGACTTTCTTTAGACGTTCCTTAGGAGTCCTGCTCCATAGACCTTTAGTGCAGGAAGACAATTTGCAAAGTGTGCTACTTCATATTCCAGACTGCGATGGATCATATCTTCTCTTTTTGACATTTCTTCCAGATCACATTAAAAGAAGGTGGGATATAGAAAGAAGAGCACAGAGAAATATTAGTTATATTTAATTAGCATAAGGTATCTTTTTAGTCATGGCAGGTAAGTCAATTCACTGGAAGGCAATTTTAAAAAGTATCTGTTACATAAATGAATTGGAACCAATTTTTTTTTCATCTTTGATCATTTCATTTGAGACGTTGGCTGTTTGGACATAGTTTAGATTGGTCTGAGAATGATTTATCAACCAGATGAGTTATTTGGATGAAAAAAAATCATTTATTCTGTAGGTGTCAGTTTGAATAGTAAATTGTGACATGGGAAGTTTTTAAATTTGTAATGCCTTTTTGTGAATTGCTCCCCTCCATGGACAAAGAAGCAATACAATCTATAAATAGCTAATACATACACATCAAGGAGAATGGGCTCAGCAGGAGGTTAGTAAGTTTATTTGCAGCTATGCACTTGTGTTAAATGGTAGTATATAGCATACTGATTCCCATTATCCTTCTACAATATACTCTCATTCTTAAATATAGCAAGACATTACAAGGCAACAACAAACATTGGGTGCAACCACCTCCCCATAATCTGGCTTTATGTGGGGCATCAAGCAAAGGGCTCATGCATTCAGTCTGGTAACACTTGGCATATGCACCACTACCGCCACCAAGTTGGCATGCAGAAACACAGAACAATCATTTTGAATATGCATATGCAGCCTTGTGTTCTGTGAAACATTCATGAATTATTAATAAAAAATAAATAAAACAAAATTATGATAAAAAAAACGTTCCTATCCTTAAATATATTCATATTGGCTACATTCAGACAGGCATACATAGAGATCCCATACATTTATTATATCATGGTTTAAAAATATTGTACCCTGACAACCTGAACTTTATGGTCAGCTCATATAGGCCAATTGTCTGATGGTCTCATGGTCAAAGTCTTATGTGCATATACATACATATACTAATATATATATATACATATATTTACACTTATAGATATACTAAATAGATATATACTATTAACTATGAATGAAAATAAAACATGCTATCGTTTTCTATTAGTCGTTATCACTTCTAGTAAAATTACTGCTCCTTATATCCTTCATTAAATGTCTTGATTTCTTTATATCATGTCTCACCAGTTAACACTACATCAGCTATATTTCCTACATCACTCATAAAAAGTATATTTGACTAAGCAGAATCCTGGATTATGTAATTAATCATAAAATAATATCAACAGGCATAAATGTTAAACTGCAAAATTAGAAGTCACAACTCTTCATGAGAATGAGAATGAAGAATGTGTAGGAGGGTGTATTTAAACTGTTTGTCATCAACCACCAATTTTTTTTTAAATTTAGACATTATCCATTTCCATAAATAGATGAATTGTGCTTCTATAGTCTTAGTTTTGAGGATGTCTATTGTAAATAAATTAATCCCAAACATCTCCTTACAATCTACCAATAGGACAGTACTGTATGGTATACCTACTTTTATTGATATACATATTTATAGGACAATTTACTTAATCATTGGCTCATGTAAATCTTCAGATCTTGACCTACTTGTTTGTCCCCGAGAACATTATTGAGGAACGTTCGGTAAAATAAACTTCTAGAACCCTTTAGAACCCTGATTAAAGTCATGGTAGGTCATGTTTACCATAAAGTATACAAACTAGACCTGAAGTTGTCTGATTACTGTCTAAAGACATAAGTTCGTATTTATTTTTGGAACTCTCTTCAACAGTGAACATATGTTTCTATCTTTTATATATTCTGTCACAAAATCTTGTATAAATTATATTCATGTATTTATTTTCAGGGTCCAAATAAAGCTATTGATAGAAGATTAGTAATACAGGGTGACATAGTAATGTTGCATATTTTATCTTTTTCTTTGAACAAACTGGCTAATTATATGTATATATAGAAACTGTACTATATTTCATTCAGCTATGAAAAAACAGTCTGTTGTACTAAACTCTAAGTAACACGTTAAATTTGAATCAGCTATATCAATGTCATTTCTCAAAAAGACATCACACACACATGTTTTCCATGGTCATATCAATATAAATATAGTTCTAAAATATAAAAAATGGTATCCAAAGATCAACATACATGATCATTGAGAAAAAAAGTATATATGTTATGAAGGGACCTGTCATTTCAAGATTTCGTTCTATGCGTGTCATGAATAATTAATTCTACTTTTGTGAAATTGAAAAAAATAACGTTTACTAGTGTATCAAAGAATGGTAATTTTCTTAGGAATCTATTCGACTGGTCTTGTTAAAAAAACATATAGAGTAATATGTTTTCTGGCCAGTTTAATTACCACAAATGCCCAATCAACTAAAGGGTTGGTAACACTGACTGAGGAGATACAATGTCTGCTATGCCTTTTTTCAGTGAGGGACCAAGTACCACTGACCACAGATTCATCCCTGGTTTCCCAACATACCTGATATAATGGACAGGCCACCAACTACAAAAAGTAGTGTTACACCACTTCACCACTTCAAATGTCGCCAATTATTTCTACTACGTTTAACAAAATAATTTGCTTTCGTTAACACAAAAGATAACCATTTGTTGCATACCAATAAAATAACAGTCATAAACTCTCAAACGTTTAACCCAATAAAATCTGATCTTATTGAAAAATGCATCATTTACAATTCCCTATCTTACGAAGAGAAGTTTAAATACTGTAGGAAATGTGCCACAAGAGTTTTGTGTTGCCTGTATTTTGGATACCTTTAGGTTATTGTATTTACCTGTGAAGTAGGTGATTTCACAAAGCAATCTTTACTAGTACACTCTCATTTTTCTGATAATGCCTGACTGTTGATATGTGGTTTCCGTCTTTTATTCTCAAATGATGTCTCTTCCATTACTTTCAGATCCTTCTAGGAACCTCTTTCCAATATATGTAAGCCAATGGGGAATATATAAATTGGTTGATGTAGATCAGGCCCTGGAGGGTCTGATGAGAAACGTTCTCTTTAGGTTAATGCAAGAGATACCTTTCATGTTGCACATTACTTCCACTGACACCAAACAGAAGGGGCAGCCATACATCAACCACAATGTATTTCACCACAAAACCAAAACAACAGACTGGCCAATCACACACTGTTAAGTGATCTCCCCAAATGTTCAACTAGGGTTGCTGCTGTTGATTTAC